TGGTGCGATCAAGAACTACAGCTATGTACAACGGTGCTGTCAGACTTCCAGTAAAACTAGAATTCAAGAGCTCCACCAGAATTACGCCATCTTTTTGATCTTAAATTCTCGCGAATGTTTCTAAGTGGAATAATCATAAAGGATCATTTTTAATCTTTTTTTTTGTAAAATTTAGGTATTGTGCTCTCTATCGAAAATCCCATTCTCTTTTGACTAGTGAGTACAAAAAAATGTGGTCCTACAGAATAATGAGCAGGACTTAGCATTAGCTTCCTTGGGATTCCAGATGAAAATCCTAGCGTGAATGTGTTCTTCACGTACGGCAGTTAAGACAAGCATATGTTTGTCTTAACATTCGTTAAGGGTCCTTCCGTGTCGCATTAACTGACATCAGACTAAATCCCTTTAGACTGAAGAGCTTTCCTAATCTACGATTCTAATGAACACTTCATGATAATACTACCTTTCAGATCACGATATGGTGAAAGATAACTAGCTAAAAATGAAATAAAATATTTTTTGAAAAGGTTGAGCTTTTTCAATTACCTGTTTCATTCCGCAGAAGACAGACGTATAACTATATTTTCGTGTTTTGAATAAGAATATTTTTGTTCAACAGAAAATGTGTCATACGATACACACGAACATTTTGCTGGACTTCGTTTCTCGAAAATTCTGTGACTTTCCAGAGGAATTTTAGAAAACCTTTTTCTGCATCTTTTCAAAACCATATGCACTAGATGTACATAGGATTTGTGGACTGACGAAGTTTTTTACAGACATATGTTGAAGAATAGAAAACAGTTGATGCATTCGAAATAGTTATGGTTAATAACTAGCAAAATGCTGGTAATATATCAAATGAAAAACCGCTACCGAGTGAAATCTTTATAGTTTGAACAACTGACGATTTAATCGAAAGTGACCATTTTTGCGAAACAAAATCACTGTGGCATAATTGATTTTTGTGACATTGAATGGGGACATGTAGAGTACGAGAATGAACCGGACAATTGTAAATCGAGTTGATAATAATTCATTTTCTATTACATGAACATGAGTTGTTCGTTTCCATCTGAGCATGTTGAATTTCTTATCAAATCATTGAGACTACAAATTTCATATATTGGTTTATAGTTTATGCAACACTTAGCTGCAACTATTAGTCATCCTACGTCGATGGCTGAGTATATGAACCAATGATGAAGTTTTCAATCCACTATGTTTCCCATACGTCTCAGATTCGTGCGCATCATGAACTGTGTCGTAGTTTCATGATTTTTTATGATGTCAGCTATTATTGGCCATTTATCACCAATACCATGATCATCAATTGTTTGTTCACGTTCAACCAAATTAATTAATAATTGTTCTTCATGTTCAGTCCATTGTTTTTGATTAATACGATCATTACATATTTGTTCCCAAGCATTTTTACATACAATTGGTGACCATCGATTATCTAAATGATATTGAGATATATGAATCCAATCCAAATTTTTGATTTCGTCAACATAATGTACACTCTAAAAGAAAAATAACAGTGTCTATGTTCACGTATAGTACTAGGGATAATATTATTACTCCAACAAACTGTTGGAAAGTGAAGAATTTTCTCTGTCGAGTGAGACAATGCATATCTCGGCTCCTCAAATATGGTTTCGACCAGCTTTATGTGTACATGAACAACTCGATTTTAAAGCGTATTATTAACAACATTTCTGCGAAAGAGCACTCCTGCCTTCGTTTTCTACACGTCAGAAGTCAGCATGACCTTCTGCACAGAAAATATGTTGTGTCAGAGCTATTTTCTCCTTATTTGTTATGTCACAACCAAAACAACAAATTTCGTTTCTGTTGCAAAACGGTAGCAGAAAAGAAAAACAGAAACGTGTGATGTCACCATGGAAACACTTAAATGATGTTGGCAAAAATATCGCGTCGGTTCTATCTTTTGACTTCAACTGGCGGCAGAATGAATACAAACGCCGATTTGATATCGTCAAGAGAGATGCAGCATGGCTTATCAGACCGATTGCTCACTAGTGGCAACGATGAATGTTTGAAGCAAGCACAGAATGGTAAGTAGATCATGTCTTCTTTAACCACATTCATGGTGGGAAACGCAAACATGATGATTGCAATATGTTGAGAATAGTGGAGAGAGAGAGAGATGCCATCCAAGATCATGAGCAAAGTAAAATGTTAAAGACTGGCTATTCATCCATATTACACAGAGAAAATAAAACCCTGGCTAATACTCGAAAGAACAATCACTAAATACAACACTACTAGTCACATTCGAGAGTGAGTACCCATGTACTAAAAATCGCATAAAAATCGGCAATTAATCGTGAAAAATCGTGCGCTTAATCGCGATTAATTGCCCATTTTTTGGTGATTTTAGCGATTAATCGCAATTAATTGACGATTTTTTTCTAAATACTAGGTTCGAACCCATCTTAGGAAATACATATTTTTCTTTTTGTTTAAAGTTCTGAGGAACAACAGAGAAGACTCTTGACAACTCCGTTGTATTCTGAAATAAAAAGATGATCTGAATATAAGTGTATTTTTCGCTGAAATCGTGCTTCTTATATACAAACTTTATTGCAAAAGAAAACAGTGAATAACAACAACCATTTAATCACTTAAAGTCAACCATTAATCGCAATTGATTAATGATTTTCGTGATTAATCGCGATGGTTGACAAAGTCATCGATTAATCGCGATGCACAAAAAATTATCACTTAATCGCGATTAAATGATCGTTTTTTCCCGAATCGCGATTGAGCGTCGATTTTTTCAACCATCGCGATTAATCGACAAAAATGAAGCGATTTCCAGCACATGGGTATGCACCTTGCCATTCTGCCTCCTTTATGCTTCAGAGACTCTCTTCACATATGAGAGACCAAGGATACGAACGCTTGACAATGCGCAATCGTTTAGATGTGACACAGTTTCAATCGCTTCCAAACGATGTTATTCTTGAAATCTTCGAGCATTTCCACGCTTATGATATTCTCCACTCATTCCTTCGACTAAACGATCGTTTCGCTGGACTACTCGGCAGTCTACAGTTTGATCTGAACTTTCATCGGATCAGCAAACCCAGATGTCGCTTTATCTGCGAACACTTTCCATCAACGGCACAAGTTCGTTCTCTGTATCTGTCCGAACAGGCCTCCGATTACTTTGACTTGTTCTTCACCCACTCCTCAAAGAACACATTAGTGAATCTTCGCTCCTTGTCGCTGTTCGCCATCGACTCGGAACGAGTGATCAAAGTGCAGGTGCCACAGTTGTCCCGGTTGACACAACTATCGTCATTTACACGCTGTATGAAAGTCAGTGATTTCCACCTCATGACGGATCAGAACGCTTTTGAACAAGTCACTGCCATCCTTGCAGACGAGTTGAAAGTGAACATAACTATTACTCAACTTAATCTTAGACAAAACCAAATATCTGGTAGAGGCTGTGAAGCACTAGCAGAAGCACTGAAAGTAAACAAAACTCTCACTCGACTTGATATTAGCAACAACCAAATATCTGGTAGAGGATGTGAAGCACTAGCAGAAGCACTGAAAGTAAACAAAACTCTCACTCGACTTGATTTTAGCAACAACCAAATATCTGGTAGAGGCTGTGAAGCACTAGCAGAAGCACTGAAAGTAAACAAAACTGTCACTCAACTTGATCTTAGAAGGAACCAAATATCTGATAGAGGAGGCGAAGCACTAGCAGAAGCACTGAAAGTAAACAAAACTCTCACGCGACTTGATCTTAGCATGAACGAAATATCTGATAGAGGAGGTGAATCACTAGCAGAAGCACTGAAAGTAAACAAAACTCTCACTCGACTTGATCTTAGAAGCAACCAAATATCCGATAGAGGCGGTGAAACACTGAGAGTAGCGTTGCAAGAAGATGGAATAGTCGTTCTGTAGATAGGGTCGTCTGTCCTGTGGGACGTTTGAGGCGCAATGCCTCAAAAAAAGTATGATGGTACACTTTTTTGTTGTAGAAATTCATTTTTCAGTCAAATGTTCGACTGAACTTCAGAACTGATTCAGAAATTATTTCTTTATTTCTTTGAAATTATTTCTGTTAATAAAATTTAAAAGGAAGAGTTTAGAATCAAAAACTAACGTTTCAGTCGATATTAAAAATAACCGACGTAACAATAGATCATTTACGTTTTAAAAATAATTATAATGAGATAGAACGTTTTCTTTTTGATAAGATAAATTTTTTTTCGTACTTTACAACACTTATGCTTATTTCTTTGTCGTGTTTCTTTTCTTCTTTTTTTGCTTGTTATTCCTTTTTGCTTGTTGTTATTATTGTCACATTTGTTCAACTTCGACCAACATGTAAAGATTTGTTGGAAAATAAAAGGTTTAGATTCTGTGGACATCAGAATTTTTCCTTGTAAATCGGTTTTTCATGAATGATTATCATTCTTAATAGTCTCTAATGCTTTTAACAAAAACTAAACTTACTTGTACCATCTGGCCAACACATAAGTGGTTTTTACCCGGTTTGTTGCTGTGATGAAACCAAATAAACTTGTTCAAACTAAAACTTAAACATTTTGAGAAAAAATTTCAGTCAATATTTTTTCCAATCAAAACTTATTGTGTTATATACGATTCGATGCAGCTCGTCGAACTGATTCCAAATATCACCTTATTTTTCAATACAAACGTTCTGGTCTGAGAAAACTGAATTTTACCGGAAAAACCGAGGGTTTTGGGAAAACCTATAACTCGACTTTGGCAAATATGTGCACTTTTATGCACTCAACATAGATGAATGGCATGCGTTCAAATAACAGAAATAATAGAAAAAAATAAATAGCCCGTTTATCGAAGTATATTTGATATTATTTGAATTTTAAAAAAGCGCACTTTCGAGTTTTTGCCAAATATCCACTTATACAGTTTCGCATTCCGGTACGCTACGAGATTTTTTTCTCTCGCTGTTTTCTCTTTTCGCGTTGCTTCTTGATGTTTTTTTATTTCATTTGAGTGTTACCATAGATTCAGAGGTCAGGATTCTCTTGTTGATATCCATATCGTGTCATTTTTTCGTTATGTCATTTGAAAGGAAAACCTAGTCAAAATAATCAAGTTCATGTATTTGGAACAACAACAAAAAAGAAATTGCAAATTACTAGGCACAAGATGCTACAAACCACAGGTTTCGAAAAATGTTTGATGAAATATATCCTTAAAATGTTTTGCTGGCGATGACTGAGGGTTGAGAAGTTGATCAACTAGTTGATTAGCAAAGTTTATTCCAACATGTTTCAAAACATTTCGTGCTAATAAATCAGAGAGTTTTTCTTGTTCATCGATGTCACGTTTGATGGTTTGTACTAAGCTCATATTAGTCATGTTTGTTACAGACGTCAATGCCAAAGACGATACTGTTTTATGAATTTTATTTCTCGAATGTTCGGTGATACTTGTTAATTTTCGTTTACGACCATGCGACAATGTCTGATTTAACATCGTACGAATATCACAATCAGATGGTATATGGGATTGATCTTCACTTTCAAACCAAGGTTTCATCAAAGCCTAAATAATAAAATAATATGATTAAATATCGCAGCATAATTGTTAACAAAGATAAAGCATACCTTTAGGCATGCAACAATCTCAAGCTAGGGCTCGCTGATCGGCTCCGAACGGTTTGTTATCGAACATGTTCGGTCACCAAACGGTTCGCAGTCGAATATATTCGCAGCCGATCAGTCAGCTCTAGCTTGGGATTATTGCATGCCTGGTCTGGACTAAAAACAAACGGGACGAAGACTACACCAAACGAAGGAGCAGCCATGATTACGCCGTAACCATAGGTAATCAGGTAAAGAAAAGTTTAAATTAGAGCAGCAGTTCAAAGTACCTTTAGATCAGATATAGTACATTATATCTGATTTACTCTCTAACTAAAGCATACTTTACTAATGTGACCTCTGTAGCAGATTGATTTACTTTATTTTCATGCAAAAATGTGCAAATAAAGTAGACGGAAAGTTGCAGCCCTAATTCGAATGTATCTTTATAAAGCTTATGATACTTTGTCCTAATAGTTTCTCAACGGAGCGCTCGCCGATATCTCTGATGAGAAAAATATAAACTATCGTATTTGCAATTTTCGTCCGAACACATTCGGTCGTATTAAGTTTCCAGACCGGACATGTTCGGTTGCGAACCGTTTGATTATCGAACATATCTGGCAACGAACCGTTCTGTCACCGAACTATCGGATTAGTGCATGGCTACATACCTTTAGTTTTCTTTGACAACATTTTTTACTAAGAAATTCACTGACAGCAATTTTGGCAATATTTGCTGTTAATGTTGGATTATTTCTAAACCAACGTATTTCATCATCGGTAATAGTAAATGGTAAACCTTTTCGATAAAAGCCAAAATTTACAATATCTTCGTCGATATCATCGTAAGTTGACCAATCATCTAAACCATCGTTTTCAATAGCAGGTTTCAGTGATATTAAGGTTGGTGGTCCACCCGTGAAAAAATTTCTCTTATTTTGTTTAATCTTTTTTGATTGTGAATAAGTTTTATCATAGAATAATCTAATAAATTGTTTAATTGTTATACTTAACTCTTGGTACCATAACCATTTTTCTTTTGATTTCATTAACATTTTGTGTCGAACTAAAATCGAATTATCTGTTCTATTTTTAATATCACGTGCAATTTTAGCCCATTTTGGACCATATATTGCATATTTTTCCATAATTAACATATCTTCATCAAATGTAAATGCTAACTTATCGTTATTTGATGTTGAGACAAGAAGACCTTCATTATTATTTGATGTTTTTAATGTTAAATAACGTTCACGACATTGTCTCGATGTTCTTGTTCGCATTGTTGATGTTAACAATGGCCAATTTGTTATCGTTTTATTACTAGTATTAACACCATCACCACCGGAAGCCACACGTATTAATTCTTTTTCTTCAGCTGATGTCCATCGTCCACGTTTACAGTTTGGATCAATGTACAGCCACTGCGAATAAACAAATTCACGTGTACGCGTTTCTAAATTGTACGATATCGAATTCCATGGAATATAATGACCTTCACGAACATCTTGTACACAATCGATTAATAATTGACGTTCATTATCATCGAGAGAGCGTTTAGAATATTTTTCATTTGTAATCTAAACATAAAAGGTTTACATTATTATAGTCCATTAACATTATTCTCTGCTACAATAAAAAGGCGTCCATTGTCTAAACAAATTCGTAAACAAACAACGTCAGATCATATCTGTATGCCTCAAGATTCATTTTTCTTCTTGCTAATTCATAGAGAAATAAACAACCAACTCGCTAGTGGAAAAATAGAGAATTTTATATGGAAGGATCTCATTTTTGCATTCCGTACATTAGTAGAGATAAACAAGAAAGACAGACTACAAGACTTACAGTACATTGCACTGACCTGTTGATGAATAATGTGCTACTAATTACTTCAAAATACTTTCATGGAATATGTACTACATCGACTTTGTCTGCACACAGTGTAACTCTTTTTAAATGAGAGATTCATGTATTGAATTAACAAAATATAACATTGAAATCGTTCAGAAATGTCGGTATCATAATTTGGGCTTCATCGGCATTTTCGATTTTTCATGTTTAGATAGACTGAGCAGAAATCAATCTTCAAAATCAAACGTAAATCCTGCATTCGACTTGTCTTTCTATGTTTTATCCAACAATGTAAAAATAACTCAGACCGTTTTCGAATAAAAGTAAAAGAAGCAGTGAAGAAATTCAAGTTTACTTTTCAAGCTTTTTTGGCGTTACAAAAAGGTTAAAAATGGGTTTTCAAAAATGTCTGCGACATGTAGAAAGATTTTTAGACTATTTTCATATGAAACGAGAGAACTCTATCTTTTGTTATATATTCTATATAGTCTTGTTTGTTCGTTGCTACTTCATTTCTAAAAGATTGATTTCTCCTCGGCTTACCTAAATGTACAAAAATCGAAAATGCCGATGAAGCACAAATTATAATATCGACATTTCTGTATGATTTCAATGATATATTTGTTAATTCAATACATGAATCTCCCATTTAAAAAGAGTTACATTGTGTGCACACAAAGTCGATGAAGTATAAACTCCATGAAGCATTCTTTAACCGACGTTAATAGTAAGAAATAAATGAACAACAGTCAACATGCGGTTAATTATCGAAAATTTTGTCGAGGTATTGATTCATCAGTCTCTTTCAAGTACTCTCATTGAGGGTCAACATCATTCAGTTAAGACATAAGATCGCGACTTTGTCTCGAACAAAGAAGCTAATGGAACGCTGTTTGAATTTCAACTGTAAGGAAGAGGATGGAACAAATCTGTTTCTTAAGATTTTTGATAGCGATATACACATACTTTTCGCATATTAGATGAAATGCATTTCAACTTGTTACTGAAATAAGAGAAACACAGTAAACAAATAAACAACAGCTTCATATAAAACAATAAAAAAAACCATCTTATGGATTACCGAGAAGACCTACAAATTATGTTTTCTTCGTTACAGAATGGTAGTAGTTTCCATCTGGGAGAAAAAAAAGGTTCAAATAGTTTTGAATAGCTTTTTTTTTATAAGGAATAAATGCAGAGCTGCATTTTTTGCCAAGATCGATCTCATGCTCTGATGAAAAAATCAAAGTTAAACCATTATATGGCGGTAATCTATCTGACATGTTTTTGAAAGACAAAAAGTACCATTTTATGCCCTTACATACTAATCTAGATGTTTTTATCATGCATTGATATCGCCCAAGTCTCTTTTTCTCTCCATTTCCAAACCTATCCAGATGCGATCTGGAGACTGTTAAAAACCTAAATCCAACACAGACCGATGGGAAGGTTGAATTTATGTGCATACATAGGAGACTTTGAACTACAATCGCATAAGAAAACATATTTATTAGTATAGACAAGCAACGATTATAACTTGACTTTTCCATAGATTCAACAAACTTCAGTCTATTTCAAAATAGATAATAGTAACGCGTCAAGACTGCTCGGCATAATGGAAATAACCAAACAAAACGTCTTTTTTTTTTCGTTTAAGCTAAATTTGAATAACTCATCGAAAAAAAACTTACTTTGCTCTCTTACTTATTTGGTTACGTACTTTAATTTAATATGTTCGTTTATATGAAGGCATTAAATAATCGGAGTAAAACACGCCTACTCTTAAAATCATAGACAAAGAGTTGATTATGACTTGATAAAAAATTAGAACAGAGATATACACTACTTGTTCCCAAATTCAACGGATATACATGGGTAAAATTATATACAATTACTTTTTTTTTAATTTTCTTGTCATCACAGCAGCAGGTCTTTTTATCCTGTCACCAGAAAGAAAGAAAAAATGAACAAATTATTATTAAGACAAAAATTTGTTAAACGGATATATTATTTTTTTTTTTTAGAAAAAAAATCGAAGACCCACTTTGATAAATGTTCTATTGTGATCGTATGACATTACGAAAAAGAATTAAAATCTCAATACATGTATATATACATATACATATATATATACTTATATATATATATGCACACTCGCACTGATTAGTGTGGATCTACAAATAACGAATAAGATAATATTAAATTTCAATCAGTTACCTGCATATAATGTTTTGCACAAAGATACGCACTTCTGCCAGTATTTAGCATTTGAGCTATTATTGGCCATTTATCACCAATACCATGATCATCAATTGTTTGTTCACGTTCAACCAAATTAATTAATAATTGTTCTTCATGTTCAGTCCATTGTTTTTGATTAATACGATCATTACATATTTGTTCCCAAGCATTTTTACATACAATTGGTGACCATCGATTATCTAAATGATATTGAGATATATGAATCCAATCCAAATTTTTTTCCATATTCATATTTTTGATTTCGTCAACATGTACACTCTAAAAGAAAAATAACGGTGTCTATGTTCACGTAATGTGTAACGAAAAACATTAGTCGGAGGATAAATAGATGAAATTTCAATCTTTAGTGAAAACCTCTTTTAGCTAAAGGAAGATAAAAACCAACATGAAAAAGTCACTTTAAAATGAATTAAAAATTAAACACTTTTTTGTTTTACTTTTCGATAAGTTGCCCAGTTTCAGAATCGTCTTTGAATGCGTAAAGTTAACTTTTTTATACGCAATTAATACGCGAAAAAAATACTTCATAGTAAATTTGAAACTATCATATTTTATCAACTGAGATATCTAATTAAAAATGTATCTCAGTTCGGAAATGAAAAAATACAAAGCAAACTGCGTTTCCCAACTACATAGTATTCCATCGAAGTTTGTTGAAATATTTTTGATGAATTTCGTTCCTACAACAAACTCCATGAAGTCATTTTGCATATAATTATTTAGATGTTTTTCAAGAATTGCATCAATCGGAGATAAGTACTGATGATGATTTGGCAGATACAGTTGTGTTGTTTGTAACATATTTGCATGGCTAATTTAATATATGGTCAACGTAGAGTGAATAAATGATGAATGAATAATTCCACTACAGTTTCTTCGCTTTCACCATCTTATAAAAATTATACGCTCAATCGTGAAAAACAAGGTTTACAAAACTACATTTGGATCTATTAAACGTCTCGCAGTTGGAAAATCCAGTTCTACTGATATTTTCCCATTCTCTAACTGAGATATCTAATTGAAAAAGTATCTCAAACGATACGTAGTCCAAATTATTAAGCATCTTTAACTAAGCATATCCAAACGAGATGGGTGGTTCGATATTTTCTCTAAATCTCTGCCAGATAAAAGCTAGTTTTTTTCGTACTATACCTGTGATATGTCCACTGATTCTCTTTTTGAAACTTGATTTGATTTCGCCTGTTGTTGTTGTTGTTGTTTTTTCGTCATTTCATTTAGTTCATACTGAACAGCTTTAATTAATTGTTTGCGATTTTTTAGTGTCCATATTCGAACTGTTGGTTTTGAATAAGAAAAGGTGCTATTTCGTTCATTATTTGATAAAATTTTTGAAAATGACATAGTTTTTGGTTCTAATTTATTCGATGATTTACAATAAATTGATGGTGGAGAAAATAATGATGAAAATGTTAGCGGCGTATGTTGTTGATGTTGTTCTATATTCGAATTTTTTAATCGTTTTAATACAGATGAAGAGGGCATAACGGATGCTCTTGGTTCAATAGATGATGAACGTGTTGTGATTGCTTTTTGCATTTGTTCAATTTGATTTAAAATTTTTTTTAATGATCGCAAATAAAGTTTTGTTGTACCGGAATACATTAGTTTCGTTGTGTCTATTGAAGATGACGATGAGTAAGCTAGAGTATGCGATTTTTCATTTGTACGTTCCATCATATCATCATCGTTTAACAACATAGATTCTAACGTTCTAACATCATTGCAAATAGTCTTAACATCACCGGGAATAATAATATTATTTGAATTAAAAACATTTGAGGAATAAAAGTTCATTGTTCAAATTACCAACAAAAAATTTTATCTACAATATATAGAAAACATAGAAACTGGAATCAATTTATACATAGAATACTGCTTAACACATCGATTCTTCGCTTAGAACAAGTGTTTTAAAGTTTCAATCTGTTGCAATATTTGATATAAAATGGCTAATATCGGCAAACTTACAAGATCATACTAAAGACAGTAAATAACGTTTTATGTTACGTGTATCTATACTGAGACTCGACACGAGATCTTTATATATTCATTAACATTTTGCAGTGAAAATGTAATATAGTAACACACTTTTGAATATAAGATAGAAAATAATTTCTGATCGATCAATATGCATATTTCTGATAATTAATCATAGAAAGAAAATTTATCGAACTGCATTATCCAGTTTGATAATCAGTCACATCTAATCTTGGCCTGTACTACAAACCAGGGCCGTAGCCAGAAATTTGGTAAGGGGTGGGCATCTACAAAAAAGTTCCATCGTTACTAGTCTGAATTTCCATGTTAAAGCTAGATCGAGCACTTTTTCTTGCGTTTTATCTCCACACGGCATTTATCCCCTATAAATTTAGTATGTATTATATATTGAAGTAAAATCTCAAGGGGTGGGCACGTGCCCTGTTTGCCTACCCCCTGGCTACAGCCCTGCTACAAACAATGAAGCATAGAACATGCTAAACACATTTCATTATTATTAGACGTCAAGAAAAGATCTTGTGTATTTGATAGTGTTAGCTGCAGACAAAATAAAAAAACGATTTTTAGTTATTTGCTGTAAAGTGAGAAGTAGTTGTTCTACTATCAGGTACATATATAAACTTTAAATTTTCTATCTACAGATATGTCTATACAACAAACAAGTCGTACCGAGCAAGAAAATAACAAAACCCAACATGTTAATGACAACAATTAGCATGATAACAACTAAAACATGATAAAATCACAGGTTGAACGATCTATTCCATCGAAAGTTTAAACATTTTTGTAATAGAAAAAACAAAAAGATATTCAGCTAAACATTTCATACAACAGAAGTATAATTATTACCACAAAAACAACAATATGACTGAAGATGAAGAAAATATCATACTTCAATTGCAATACAACAACTATAAATGAAATCATATTGACTGAAACGCATATGCTTAATAAAGTGAATGCATGAAAAATGTGTTTAAATAGACACGTATTACGTTACTCCCCGATTAGCGAGTCAACACCTGACGAATCAGTCGCTATTTTATTAAGAAAATACCTAAGACTAAGACTGTTTTATTCACGAAAAGTGAGAGTCATCAAAGGTCATAGACCTGTAATAACGATGACTCAAGCCAAATAACACTACAAGTTAAAAAAAAGAAAAGAAAATTTTTGAAAATAAGGAAAAGAAAAGAACAAATATAAATTCATAACTGACAATCGTTTCACTGGAAGAGATACTGAAGCAAAGCTGTTTTGAAAGACAATAAAGAAGAATGACGAATAACTGACTCTGGAAAATTATTTCAGTCAGCAATAGTTGAATAAAAAAAAGAAGAATGTACCGTTTGCGGAGAAAAACCAACAACAGAAGATGGAATGCGAACATATTTAGAGTGATGAAGACGCAAGGATGAGTAGTGAGGACGATGAATAGTATAAAAAAGAGAGACAGGACTTAGACGATGATAAATTTTGAAAAACTGTAGAAGTTTAAAGTATTTACGACGAAGAGATAGATTTGAAAGAGAAAATTGAGACACAAGTAGAGAACTAGAAGAACGGAAGTCAAAATTGTGAGAAATAACACGAGAAGCAAGTTTGTTTCCAGAATCAAGAACAGTAAGAGAAAACGAACTGTCATAAAAGGCACAGCAATAGTCAATTTTAGGAAGGATAGAAGATAGATTCGACGCCGAACTTCGGTTGAAGCTAATCCAAGGACACGATTTAATGCTCCAAACTTGCGCCGACAAGCAAGAGCGCTGTCCTTGGCATGGTCATTCCACCTAAGATCGTGCGAAACAAGAACACAAAGACAACGAACAGAAGACACAACAGAGAGAGGAGCACCATTGAGATACAGTTGATTGTAAACATACGGAAAGAGGTTGGAAGAGAAAGGAAGCCAACAACATTTAGAAGCGTAGAAGTAATAGCAGAAGTGGAAGAATAAACGGATAAAAACGAGTTACATTAGTATTCAGACTATAAAACACGTTCACAAATCATCTTTTTATCTTGTTTTTAACTTTGAAATTACTATTCCACGCTGATTACCACACACACAAAAAA